GCCCTTTTGATTAAATAATAAAATATAATTTTGCTTAATTAAAATATCCGAAATATATATATATATAATCTGGTTTATAAATAAAATAAATGGATAATAAATCTTATCCAAAATCCAAAAATAATAATTAAGTTTTAAAATGATTTTGGCGCTAAAATTCAAATATCATTTTGGCTCCAAAATTCAAATAGTAAAATAAATTACTAAAATACCCTTTTTAGAAAATAATAATCAATTAATTAATTTATTAGAAATACGTTTCCAAAATACGGGGTATTACAAATAGGTTGAGTGGACATCCTTTGTGCAGATGCAGCAGCTTATGTGTGGCGTGTTGGATCTGGCAGATTTCCAATACCATAGTTGGCATAACTGACACCAATCTCTGCTCCTAAAGGAGGTATGTTACCCATTATAGAGGTTAATGGGTGTGTGGTAACCGGTGGAGGCAAAGAAGAAGAAGATAGACCTTCGCCATTATGGTTATAGCCTGACTCATAACCTGGCCCTGAACCATTAATTCTTCCTTGACTACTATACCCTTCATCAGAACTAATAGGAAGGATGCTTCTTGGAACTGACAAAGGGGGCGGATTTGCATGAGATCTTGTCATATCTACTCTAGGGTATCATAGAGGGACATTATCCCTTTGATTTGCTTCAGTAATCCCACTACCTAAAGCGGTTAGAACATTCATCAACTTCTCATTGAGTTGGTTATGTTTTTCCACTAAAGGTTCAAGCCTTGTAACCACTTCGGTTGCTACACTTTTTAATAATGCCACGTTAGTTGTGTTCAGAGTATCATTAATATCTAGAATAATCCTATCTACCTCTCTGATATTCGCTTTTTGGGTAATGGAGTCAAAGTTTCTCAACTCGACAGTTACCACTTTTGCGGTTTCTTCCACCATCAAATTGCTCTATGTTTTTCCTTTTAGATCCTCCATCAGACCCTTCTTGATTTCCACATATTTCGTGTAAATTGTGTAAAGTAAGTGTCTAGTAGGGGACTGGCTTTCCATTCCTTCTAAAACCGATTCATCTTGCCTTTGCGTATGAGGCTCAAATGGTTTGAAAGAAAGTGTCATGTGTTTTGTTGGCAGCTGATTTTCTAGATCTGTTTGATCCTCTAAAATAGTTTTAGGATTGTGTTCAGATAAATTAACATCTTCCTAAGTATTTCCTTTACGTGCCAAAGGCTTAGGAGCCTTGGGAAAAAAATTCCAAATTAACAAAAGTTAAATGGATTAAGTCTAGTATTCTCCCACTGTGGTCGCAAAAAAACTTGTTGAGGTAAATATTGCTCTTTACCAACAAATTAAATACTCTATCTTGTTCTAGAGTGTTAGGGGGCTGCCCCTCGAGTTATCGGTTTTAAAGATTGATAACCTTGCTAATGTAAAACAAACAAATAAGGAAGCTTTCTTAAAAGAAGTAAAACAAGTTAGATTGCTCAAAGAAACGAGTAGATAAACATATGATCTGAAAAAGATACAAATGCACTCCATTAATGAAGGGATAGTGTCAGATTATACAAGTTGAAGGAGAGGTTAACTCCATGGTCATACAATTGGAAAAGACGAACGATATTCAATACATGCTAGAAGATAAACTACACTATCGCTTGGCTACTAAGCCAAGGGAAAACTACGAAAGATAAGAAGAAAGCTTAAAAGAAATGAAATGCTTGTTGTTGAGTTGTTTGTTGATACCTTCTTTCGGTCCTTGCACTTCATTCTATTTATAGGCAAAAATGGAGCGGTTATGGCTTACTCCCATAATTGTTGTACGGTTATGCTTCTTGGCGCCAACTCTATTTTGAAAATTAAAATCATCCATTAGCCTTCTAATCCGGTCTATATATAATTAGGCCTTAGTATAATATCAGCCAATAGCTGTTATGTTTTAATCAAACTAGCCCAAAGACCATTCACTAGCTCTTGGACTTACCAACTTAGTCAAAGTCAAGAAAGTCAATTAAAAGTCAAAAATCAGATTTTTGGGTGTAACAGGATTTGTAACATAAAATGAACAATTATTAGTATATTTTAAATGAACATTTCGTATATTATAATGAACATAAAAAAAGTTATAATGAATTAAAATGATATATTTTACCTTTTTTTTATTTACAATTATGTAAATAATATTTTAAATTATAGTTCTTAAAAATGAGCATTAATTAAGCGTATAATATATATTGAATGTTCAGTTCATTTTATAATTGTATGATAATTATGTTCATTTCTACTTTTTTAAAGTATATTTTTTTATGTTTTCATATTTTATTATTAAATGTTTATTTTTTTTACGTGTTCATATTATTAAAGTATTTTTTTTTATTTACCTTTTCATATTATTATTATTTTTACTAAATGTTCATTTTATTGGTGTGGTCCACCTATTCTAAGCGCACCAGGGTGCACCATTTTAACTATTGCTAAATATTCCACTCGAAAGGAGATTTGAATCCATAAATTTCTTGTCACGTTGTCTCTTGATATACCATGAGTCCATGACATCATGTTAAAGGATCGGATCAAGTCAAACAAAAGTTTAACTTAATAGTTGATCTTAATTTCTTGATTAGTTTATATATGCTTTATCATATATAAAGAGGAGAGAAGTAAAACCATTTATATACATTCAGGTGCATAAAAAGGTAGGTGCACTTAAGGGTATTTTTTTTGCTCATTTGGTAATTATTTTGCTCATTTTAAATTCTTTAAATAAACAAAAATATGTTAAATGTGTATAAATAAAAAATACTTTTGGATGCACCTTGCTCGTGGATGTATATCAAAAAAACTTAGCTGGAGAGAAAAGAGAAAGATCGAGCCAAGTATGTTTGGATAATATAGGTATGAAATGTTGTACAAAGTAATAATTATCATAAAATTTTTTGAAATTATTTTGAAACATCCTAAATAGGCAAGTTCCAATATTGGAATAATGTAACTACTAATGTAATATGAATATTAAAATAATGAAGGCCCTTATATTGCACTAGTAAGCCATGTTATCTTCACCTTATATTTGTCGAATTAAATTAATTATTAATTAAAATTAAATTAATTTTTATTAATTAGAAATGATTGTAACTTATTATTATTGATTCTCTATTATACGTGTTTTAAAACATTACTAATTTTTACTATTTAATTTTTTTTTTAAATGAAATTATTCTTGTTGAAGTGAACACATTTTTACTACGGAGTAAACAAGGTTTTACCCGAGCCATGCTCGAATTTTTAATTAATACATATAATAAATAAAATTTTAGCAATTTACTCAATATAATTAAGTTATTGGTGTTTATTGCTATTTGATAAAAAATTCAGCTTAGGAAATAACACACAATACCTTTTCTATATATATATATATATATATATATATATATATATATATATATATATATATATATATATATATATATATATATATATATATATATATATATATATAATAAGGAGAAATAAAATTTAAGAAAAACAATTTGGTGTTTTAAATTATTTTTGGGAAATAATGAAATATACAAAAAAAAAAAAAAAAAAAAAAGAAAGAATTTCATAGGATATAGTGCTGTCATAAATATTTTTGGGAAAAATATTAAGTAGATTCATTATTTTCAAAGTAGATTAAAAACATGGGTTTAATATGTACACCTTAGTATTGGATCAATTGTGAATGAGTTGCACAGTTTTTTTTATTCTTAGTAGTTGTACGCGTGTATGGGGTGATTTAAATTTATACTTCCTCCATTTTTTTATAGTTGCAACACACTATAATAGGAAGGTTTTATGGTGAAATTTGTACTATTACCTTTATTTAAAGCTCATGGCTCACTTGATTATACTCCTAAGTCCTAACAACCTTTTAACTCCATTTTAAGTGTCTTATATCATGTAAGGTCCACTTTTCTCAAATACCATGATAAACTGTGTGTTGCAACTATAAAGAAACGGATAAAGTACTATTTTTGTATAGATAGATTAATAAATTGTGAATTGTATAGATAAAGAAAAGCAGTTACTTATTTTTAGGAGCAATAGTAGGATAATTTTTTTCATAGCAATTTCTCAAAAAAATAATAATAAAATAAAAGCATTTGGAGGGATAATAAATGATTTTTTGGGGGGGGAGTTCTGATTTAGTATAGGTACTAGATTAGTCTCGTGCGATGCACGATTTTGACAAATAAATTTGTTATATTGTCACAATTGCAAAGTCGTTGGACTAAATTTGGATATTAATTAATACATGAAAATTATTTTTAAAAAATGAATAATGAAATAGATGAGAAAAAATTTAAACTTAAAAAAATATAAAAGAAAGTGATGACATCACATATATTTAGGCTGGAAAAATTTCTACCACAGCTTGACATGTGTACAATTAGGAAGAAGGATGACATCATCGGTTGCTATTTTAGTAATAGTTATAGATTATATTAAACTAAAAAAATTTCTATTTTTTACTACACAATATAATTTCAAGGTGAAGAGAACATGGCCTAAGAATATTTGCTTTATCTAATTGTAGCAATGAAAAAAACATTTTTTTGCATGTACATTGCTGAAGATACATTCGAATTCTGTATGTGAGAACGTGTAGGTATTATGAACCATATATACTATTCAGATCTCACAATCCCAAATGACTGCATAATTAGAGCGAGCTATTTTCCTTCAAGTGTTACTAATAAAGATTATACTTCAGCCATTTATTTTTATATATGCTAGGTTAAAGTTTGGAAACTTTACCATACTTCGTATTTTTCATCTGTAACGACTAATTAAAGTACATCTACAAAAACATTATTATGTGGTTGGAGTTTCGTAACCACATTTTAATGTATAGTGAGTTTTGTAACACCATTTTAATGTATAGTACGTAGAACAATTTTTACATAAAATATATATTAATGTTGAAACTTATATATGCATCGGAGAGACCATAAGAATTTAATAAATAGGCGAAGCTAATGTAATATTTCACGAACAAATTCTAATTTATTAAGATGTTTATGTTTGATTGATGAACATGTGTAGTTGCGTACGACCGCATAGATAATTCAAGGTTACAAATCGTAAGCAAATATCTACCTTTAATTTGATGACATACATGATAATAACTTCCTACAGTCTACGTACTGGTCCATTTTGAACCTTATTATTATTAACTATCAATTTAAAAGAATAATTAATTAATTAATAACTCTACAATTTGTCCTAATCTCTCCATTTGATCCAGTAAGAGGACTAATATTCCCCATCTTAACCATTGCATTAGCAAAATCGTTAACAAAAGCTCGAAAATTGGTGCTATATAACCTAACCAATGCATCTTGTGATCCACCATTGAACAACTCCTGGTCCGAGTGCATAAGCCCACGCCTAACCAAAAGGTCTTGGAAGTAACCATTGTCGAATCGATTAGGTGATAGGATGTCAAGTGGAGCTAGGTTGTTGTCGCCTGTACCGGAGGCAGGGCCTGGACATGTTCTCTTGCGCAAGGTGGCAAAGTTAGGGTTAATGTTGGTTTCGTTGTAGATGTGTGTCCGGAAGCTGGAGCATCGAGCCTGGCCGATAGTGTGGGCCCCGGAGAGGGCGGTCATGTCACGGGCGTTTAAGCCTTGGGCGGCGAATAGGGAGATCAACGTACTGAGGCTGGCTGTGGGTGGTGGGAGGTTGGAATTGGCGGTACTTTGGCTAGCTGTTGTTGCATCCCTTCTTCCTAATGGTACTGTCCATGAAGGGCCTCCTAACTGCATGATCAATCATATATAATTATATATTTTTAATCATACATAATTATTATTGCATGATTTAAAAAATAGTGTTACAATAAATTATTAATCATATATAACGGTAATGTACTGCCTCCGTTTCTGAAAGTTCGACTCACTTACAATTCAAGAGGAAAAAATAAAATAACTTTGACCAAATTTAATGACTTATACAATATATATAAATTAGCATATGGGATCTTGTTAGATTCCCCTTATTATAAACTTTTCAAATATTAACTTTTTATAATTTTCACTTATACATAGCCAAAGGTATTCATGGTCAAAGATGTTTATTGGAGACCGAACAAATGCAAAGTGAGTCGAACTTTCAGGAAAGTGGGGAGTATTTTTTTCTCACATTAAATTCTAGTGCGATTATATATATACTTAATTATTGGACTACTATCGCTAGGTTTGATTAATAATTGGATTTATAATTCGTAGTTTGTCATATATGAACAATAATTAAAAACTTTGATATAATTGATGTATTGAGTATGTGATTGATCGGACATATGTGTATTGGTGGGTCATTATATATTAATATGGTGTAATGTGACTAATTTGTTAAGTAAAGAGACTTTGATTTGAAGCTTAGCTTGAGTGTCGGTTAAATGGGAAAATGGTTTGTATTCTTAAATGTGCCTTCATAATCATAAGAAAAATGTTTACTAAGTAAAAAAAAATGCAAGAATTAAGTGGTTCATAATGGTTATTAATATACGCCAAGATGATGCAAATCTCAATCCAAAACGTAAGGAAATACAAGGATAGTTGTCTAAGCTCAATTTCTTAAGGCTAAGCCACCAAGATATCACAAAGGCTAGATTAATTAACCTTGTTTAAAGAGTTACACTTATCCACAAGAGTTATTAATCAAACAAAGATTGATCTGATAATGTGTATGCTTATGAAAAAATAAATAATTTAACAGCCGTAAACATTAAGCTTTTCATGTAAATTAAAGAGGTTACTTCTCAATGTATGATACTTAAATTATTGTATATACTACGTATATTTCTTGTATCCTTACCTTTTTACTAGGTAATTTTAATTTTTCAATAATATTAACAGTAATAATTATTACTTACCAAGAGCACCCCCTCCCGAGCTGCAAGTGCTAAGATGTCAGCACATGAAACTGTTCCACTACAAGCTGCTTCTACATTTGATTTTATAGTATCAATAACCTCGAAACCTCTAATTGAATTTTGATTCGGAAATGCATTCTTTTCTCCGGTGAAGGAATTCGTATCATCAAGAAGTACAGATGCATCACAACCCTAATTACCAAGAGAAAAACAAATTAGAAATATATACATAAAACGATAATTTTGAAATTAAATCTAAATAACTACCCTTCTTAGATAATTTGTTAAATACTCACGTTTACAAAACAATCATGAAAGAACAATCGAAGTATAGAGGCTCCCATACGCGGTTCTTTAGATATAGCTTGTCTCATTGCATTACGTACTATACCTTGGAGATTAGGGCATGTACTAGAGTAAAAAGAAGGCGAAAGTTGCGCATTAGTAGCACATGCAAACAGAAAAATGACAGATAAAATCGCAAAAATTTGGAACACTGCAGAAGCCATGAGTAGCTTAATAATAAAAAATGAGCCAAAGAGATCAAAATTGAAATCTTTGTTATAAATTGCAAGGTAAGTTTTGATGCAAAATAGATGATGGTAAGCTTAGTATATATAGTAGATCGAGCTTGGTGTATAGCCATGAACTAACGTGCATGGGAGAATAATAGTAGTGTTAAGCTATTGACGTAACGTCAAAGATTTCAGCTAAACGCGTTTACTTTGAAATTTAAGAGATTATTTCTTCGGTCAGTTGACGTGGATGGAATTTTTGAATAATGATGTAATACAATTGATAAGAAGACAAATTCAGTTTCTGGCTTAAATTGACTATTATAAAATCGTATAATATATCTTTCTTTTTAGAAAATAATATGCATATTATTACATAATAATTATATAAAGATAAGGGTTTAAAGTGTCGTTTAGTTAGTAGTATAGGAGATAAGATTTAGAGAAAGCTAGATTGACTTTGTCTCTGTATCAAAACAATGAAGTTTTCATTCATGTCTTGCTGTTTTTCAAGTGGCAATAGTAAGTGGTCCATATAAGGGTGAGACACCATGTGTTGTAATTCTTGTAAACTATTAACATAATCACAATATTTGTGTATGAACGTCAAGTACAATAAACATTATTTTAAACTCGAATGTACCATGCATACAAAAAATATACAAGTAGTATACTTACACTAATATATAAAGATCAACCTACTAAAAAAACATTACAGTATAATAGTGGCATACAATTCTTTGTTAGAGTATGATTAATAACCTTAATTATAAAAATTACTTCGATAAACTTTAATTAAATTTATTATTTTTGTATGAAATGCAAGGTAATAGTACAATTTAATACTTAGTCATTATAGAACTTTCGTGATCAATATGAGAGTTTCTCATAAAAAATGGGTAAGAAAGAGAGTATTGTAAGAGGGATTTCATAAAATAATTTGGTCTAGGTAAAAAAAAATGGACGAAATTAAGAAGTGTAAATTACAAAATCAAGAGAGGAAGCATTAATATTAGGTGTAAATAATTGCCCATTTGATAACTTGATAGCTATAGGTGTGTCGATTCATTAATACACACAAATTAGATGTATTAGTATAATTTCGTTGCAAGTGTATATACTTTTATGATATATTCTCCGTTATGTCTTTCATTTAGTTTGACAAATTAGTGATATATATCGATCAAAAACCAAATTGTACATGTTGTATACATTTTCCTTTATTAATTGGGGCTGCAAGAAAAAGATTCATTAATAATTAATGAATGACATTACGAACTACTAACCAATTAAATGATAATGTGTCGTCCACCGAAGGGAAGAAAATAACACTGATCTAGGCACCAAGTGTCTACATTTGACAAAGTGATAAGAAAATGAGTTTGTGTTCATCATGTTTATTTTAATTTAGGTATAAAGAGTTGAGAAATATAAGTTTATCATCTCGCATGATAGACGATCCATGTTTACGAAGATGACAAACTTGTAAATAGACAGTAAAAATGTGCACAGTTTAATAAGCGGTTCTATCATGAATATTGCTCATTTTTGGTAAAATCACTAACGGTGTAGCGATACTACTATGAATAGAGCAAATTTTTGGCCATTCATTTACAAGTTTTCCATTTTATAAACATTACATGTTTATCAAAAAGATCAATGGGTCACCCTCGAATTGAGTTTGTTATTATTTGTTTTTGTTGGGCACAACTAAAGTGAAAATTCTAACTATTCAAAAAAAAAAAAATCTAAAAAAAAATCTACAGTAATTATCCATACATTAAAATAGGTGGTGCGTAGTGGACAAATTATATGTCCCCTCTCCTCTCCTCTCATCTCATCTTCTATTCTAGGGTTTTATTAATTTTTGGTCGTTTAAGCTAGAAACATATGTTAGGGCTTATTAAAAGAAGTAATTATCTATATTATGTCATGTTATCGGTTTGTTGGAGCTAGAAGATATGTTTGAGGTTGCAATGGTTGTCAAATTTTCAAATACCTTCAAGAAAATGAGATAAAAATCATCCTTACGGCTACAGATCGTTAGGCGTCTTTCCGAAAAGGCTACATATTCTAGTAATGTGTGCGAGGGAGGGATGTACCACAATGCAAGATCTGATCAATAGTCGTGACTTTGATGAAAGAAACCTTTGTTTGAAGCTAGTTTATGTATTTGTTACTTTAGATTTCAATTCATTTGCAAATGACGTAAGACTTTTTTTTTATTATTAATACTACGTATATTGATTTTGTCAAAAAAAACAAAAAAAAAAAGGTGGCGCGCAATGATTGATTCAATATCCATGCAAGCATTTCTTTCAAATTTATTTTTTGATGTCAAAATTAATTAAAAGTTATTTTTTATTTCTAAAATTCATTTTTTAATTTCGAAAATTAATTATTATAATTTTCGTAAGGAAATATTAGTTTTAATAATCCCAACTTTAATTAGGCCGTTTACTTTAAATAATCCCAATTTTCAATTATCCTGGAATAATCCCAACTTTGGGGGGCGTTTTCTTTCAACGGGCCAAATGACCGGTGACGTAATAAAAAAGTTACCTTTTATTTTTTTTGGTTAAATGCCACGTGTTGCAATTAAATTGAGAAAAAAAAGAAAAGAAAAAAAAAACCGAAACCATTCCCAGTCCCCCACCCCTCCCTTTCCCCCCACTGGAAAACCCCCAGCTCTGCCACCGCCTCCCCTTAAGAGGACCAATGTGATAGGAGCTAGAGAGGTAGAGAAATCGGCAAATTTTTAGGCGGACCATGGTGCACCTATTTCTATGTGAACCACCAAGTAAAAATATATTCTCTCTCTTCTCTTCTTCTCCTCTTAGGCCTTGTTTAGTTCAACTTACTTTTACATATTTCAGAAAATATAAGTTCAGATCAGAAAAAATAAGTTTAGGTCAGATTAGATCACAAAAAATAAATTTAGATCACATCATCGTTTTACCTGCAGTTTTAATTGATAAATATCTTGTAATTTCGCAATGAAAAATATTATGAAAATTACATATTAATAAAATACACATTATTATGAATCTAACAAGACCCTATTTGATATTTTTTTCCTCTAGATTATCATACATTTAAGGTCAAAGTTTGGTCAGATCAGACGATCTGATCAGGTCATATTAGATAAGATAAGATCAGATCAGACCAGATCAGATCAGACCAGGTCAGATCAATTCTGAAAAGCAAGAATAAGGTGAACTAAACAAGCCCTTACACTTTCCTAATTTCTGATTTCTCTCTCCTCTATTTTCTCTCTCCTCTATTTTTCTCTTTCTTGAAGTCTTGAATTCGTTCATTATTCTGTTTTTGATTTAATTCCTTCATCACCATTGTTGATCATCATAGATTGAATTCCTTCATCAACATTGTTGATCATCATAGATTGAATTCCTTCATCACCATTGATTAAATTCAAATTTCGTTTTCTTCAACCTTCAATTTGGAGCTTTGTTAATGGAGTTTCTGCAATGAAGTAAAGCTGAAAATGACGGCTTCGACAAGGTGAAGATTGTTAAGACAATGGAGATGATTAGTTTCCGATGATATTCCATTATCTAAATCACCATAACTAGGTTTGAGTTTCAGAATATGTAGTTTCATATTCTTTTGATTTATTTGTTAGTGATATTTGTGTATTTTATTATGAACAGTTTTGTATTTAGTTATATTTTTGTATTTTGAACATTTTAAGTTAAAAATATGAACGTATGATACGTTTCTTATAAATATACTTTTTCACCAATATATATTTTTGGAATTATGAATATCTTAATTATAATTCTGAACATGTAATATATTACTTATGAGCTTTTTTTTTTCTTTTTTTTTAATAACTATCTATGTATTTTTAATCATTTTAAGAAATTTGACATCCTGTACTTTATAATTTATATATCTGAACATTTGATTCTTTGCATATGAAAATTTATTTTGTTTTCGATTTATGTATTTTTAAAACCTGTTTAAGTTTTGTAATTATGAACATATTATATTATGTTAGATATCTTATCATGTATATGTTTTTTATGAAAATTTGAGTTAGATCGATATATGAACATAAGTTAATTTGGGTTAAAGAATTATGAACCTCAATTGGGATTTGATATATAAAATGAACGTTTTGTAATATTTCAAATGAACATTTATATAAGTACATTATAATGAACATAAAAGAATTTATAATGAATTAATATGATCTATTTTTCATTAAAAATTATATAAATAAAGTTTTAAACTATACTTTTTGAAAATGAACATATAAAATATGAACATGATACTATTAGAATTTGAAAATATAATTTTTGAAAATAAACATTCAAATTCTTAAATATAATCATTACACTATTTTATAATAATGAGCATCAATAAATATGAACATGATACTACTCGAATTCGAACATTACTATTTAAAAATGAACGTTGAAATTTTAATTATGAACACAATTATAGACACCTGATTGTGTCTCCCCAAAAACCAAATCCAGTGATGAGTACCTTTCACGTCTTTGATTTACGAGTTCGGTAAGGAGTTGAGTCTCGTGAAGTTTTCTTAATCCTTGATCATATTTCTAACCTTATCTAAAATATTTCAACCCAAAAGCATTCATTTCCTGTCCTTAAACCCAAAATCATTCATTTCGTGTCCTAAAAATCATTCATTTTGTGTCTAACTCATAAAAACGTTCAAACCTGATTATTTTGGTCCATAATCCTGGTCCAATTATTGTTTAGTTGGATGGGGTTTGAAAAGAGCTTTCCAGTGATATATTATAAGCCCAAATCCGACTTAAAACGGATAAGTTATGGCTAAAATACTAAACTAAGCCCAAACCGGACCTAAGTCCACCTTACCTACGACCCAATGATCATGTGAGGGTTCAAATACCTTATTCCCAATCCTAAATCAATTAGGATTCATTAGGAGCTTCTAGAACCCTCTAGAAGGTTCTAATTTATCCTTTCTAAAAAGATAAAGATCAAAAGAGTTCAAACCCGAATAAAACTTCTTATATGATAGTCCTTATCCCGTCCATATTAAAAGGCGTACAGATAAATTTTGTTAACCCAATTCCATTGGAAATCAAATTCCGTACACCTGTTTATCTTTAAGAAATCATCAAAGGACGACAGGA